GATCATTTTAAAGCTGATGTAACTGATACATATACATGTATAGATAAAAGTAAGGATCATTTTAAAGCTGATGTAACTGATACATATACATGTATAGATAAAAGTAAGGATCATTTTAACGCTGATGTAACTGATACATATACACGTATAGATAAAAGTAAGGATCATTTTAAAGCTGATGTAACTGATACATATACATGTATAGATAAAAGTAAGGATCATTTTAAAGCTGATGTAACTGATACATATACACGTATAGATAAAAGTAAAGATCATTTTAAAGCTGATGTAACTGATACATATACAAGTATAGATAAAAGTAAGGATCATTTTAAAGCTGATGTAACTGATACATATACATGTATAGATAAAAGTAAGGATCATTTTAAAGCTGATGTAACTGATACATATACACGTATAGATAAAAGTAAGGATCATTTTAAAGCTGATGTAACTGATACATATACACGTATAGATAAAAGTAATAACAATGCAGATCACCTACCAAGGGTTAATTGCACTTTATATAAGAATCATGTTCCAGGTGCGGTTCTGCCCTCGTTAATGTTTCCTCCATCGTTCACCGTGTCTAATCTGATTGCTATGATTATGTAATATTGTAATTTACTGTATGTGCACGTCTGTTTCCAAAACCACATTTAAGCAAAACAAAGGTATTCAAGTTCACTGAGGCTGCATAAGGGAACTTTACAGGTACGTGGTCAAATGAGATTGTTGCGATTCTAGTTTCACTGGCCATTGTTTTCATCAAAACAGCTGCTGATTTTGAGCTGTGGATGAAGGGTGGTAAATTTTTGGCTTTTAAACCTTCAACTGTACGTCCCTGTTTATTATTTTATCAATGGTTCTAGGCAGATATGTCTAGCTTCACCATATTATTTTGGGTTGAAAGGTTCTCTTTCATAACCATACCCCCTATTTTGCAGATAAGTATTTTGTTCAGAATTAGCTTGTAGCAAGGTTTCAGATTCCAATATTGTTCTAAATGCATGTTTCTCTGCTCATATGGGGAATACTGAAAGCTTCTGCCCTCAAAATGTTGTGTCCTTTGATATCATTCCAATCTATCTATATGAACATCTTTCATTGGAAAAGGCTGTGATACGTTCCTCCAGCCATATACCTACCCATGGCTGCATTACACATGAAGTAGTTGGAAATTCACCATGAACCAAATACATTGGTAATATTGTAGATGGTGCCACAGCTTACATCTACAGCAACACATCATTCCATTAACATATACAACTCCTTCGAAAAGTGACTAACATTCTGTATGCTGCCTCTATTTTGTACGTTAACAAGAATGTTCTCCTTAGTTAATTCCAGATTTCAACTAAAAAAACTTATTAATAAGTTAGCAACATTTATCATTTTAAGCATAAAATAAGTATATTATTTGAAATAGTTACATTGTAAACATTTTTACAAATGGTTTTGTATAGATCATGTTATCTTTTTCCCATTGAAAATTATATAACCATCTGTTTCTCTACTCAATATTTAACACTAGACTATAAAAAAACTGCTCCATTTATCCAAGTTCTCCTGTTTTAAACAGTAATGGAACTACTATTTACTAACAACAGTCACTGTACATACCCTCTCCCAAATTTGCTGCCTAGGCTCTGAAGGAGAAGGTTCAGCTGCTACTGACGGTCTGTACCACACTCGGACTTCGTCACTAAATATTTAAGAGATACCAGTAACTGTTACACCTACTGCCTTTGTTCTTATGCAAATAACCTTTCTTAATTATGTTCCTAAGTTATCTTTATAAGAACCATAACGTGCAGTTATTTTAACTCTATTTGCATGGGTGGGGGTCAAAGTGTGCATGCTACAACCTTTTACAGAGTACCGTTCAACATGGTATTATGTATTTGATGGCGGTTATCAACTTCATTTTGCACCACACTGTTGATTTAGCAACATTTTATGGTAAGCGAGATTAAAAAACCACATACAGTGTACAGGAATACTGAAGAAAAACTGTAGGTATGTATTTCAGAAGATTATTCAAATACAATATGAACATGGTACGATGAATAAAAGTATTTATATTCTTCACTTGAATATCACCTTTCAATATGATTTGTCTGAATCAGACAGACAGACATTAACAATTCATAGATATATCCTGAATACAAATATTTTTGTGTAAAGCAGAATTGTACATTTTATTAAAAGCTTGACACGTTTCGCATAGATAGAATCAGTAAATTTGGAATTATAGTCAACATCCCTCCTCCAAAAAGGGATTTATTTATTTTTTGTTTTGTTTAGAATTAAGCACAAAGCTACACAATGGGATATCTGTGCTCTGCCCACCACGGGTATCGAAACCAGGTTTATAGCGTTGTAAGTCCGCAGACATACCGCTGTGCCACTGCCCCCCCCCAAAAAAAGATTGATTTATTTGACCAATTCATGAAATAAGATACAAACTGTAATTCCAAACATTTTTGTCCTATTCCTTGGTAACAGTATTTAATTGTTGCATTATGTTTACAACAATTTAATTTCACATAATTAGTGACATAATCAAACACCAAGTACATCACTGCATATCTTGGTTTTTAGTAATATACTAAAAATGTTTAATACATTACTTAAAAACTGTTCGTATTTTACTTTGTTTTCAATTAGTTAAAATCACTGTATCAACACATAATAACAATGTATTATTTTTTTTAAATCATGTTTTTTTTACCTTGTTTTTGTGGACAAACAACTAACTTTTTTCACAAATAATAACTTGTCTTTTCATTCTGCTTCTGTGACTTAATACTAGGTAGTAAAAATATGACAACACCTGATATGAAAACAGCAATGTTACATTACAAACATTTAAAAATGACCCCCATGAACATCTTAAATATCATGTTACTGGTCAGAAACATTACAGTAAAAGTAAACAAAAATGGCCCCATGAACATCTTAAATATCATGTTACTGTTCAGAAACATTACAGTAAAAGTAAACAAAAATGGCCCCATGAACATCTTAAATATCATGTTACTGTTCAGAAACATTACAATAAAAGCAAACAAAAATGGTCCTCATGAACATCTTAAATATTATTTTACTACCCAAAAATGTTACACGAAAAACATTTAAAAATGGCCCCATGAACATCTTAAATATCATGTTACTGAATGTATTGTATATTGAAAGACCAGAAAAAGTTGTAAATTAAAATAGGTTTGTTAAATACGAATAACACTAGCATATAGTATTTGAATATGATTAACAAAGAGGGGTATTAAATAATACTACTACTGGTATTATTCAGTGTGTACAAACCGTTCTTGTCGAAAATTTATCAGAACACAGCGTTAATGACTGTCTAGATACAAAACAATTATACTGACACATTTCTGCTCTGGTTCCAAGTAAACTACAGAACTGGAACAGTTAATCGTGTTTAGCCTGTTACATCCTTAATTATCATTCACTTTTTGGAGAGATAAGAAAATGTATATATTAATTTTAATTTCCAATTATCGTGCTAACAAATGGTAAAGATGTTAAATTTGGACTTTTGTTTTTCCAATACCCCTTTTTTTATTGAATATAAAAGTTTTTGTTTGTTTTTCTTTGAAGCACAAAACTATGCAATGGGCTTTCTGTGCTCTGTCCACCACAGGTATTGAAACCCAATTTTTAGCATTATAAGCCGAGTCACTTTATTATCAATAAACTTCACATGAAAATGTAATTTATAATTCAGATTTTTATATTATCTAAGTTTTAACTTCTTAATTTCAAAATATATTAAAATGATCTCAATCTTTGTTTATCTGCAAGTTCAAGTGCAATTTGTCTATCTTAAAGTTGTCTAACCTCTAAAATAGGCTGCTGCAGTTTACAACCAATTAGAAACACATACTATACAAGCACATGTCTGAGATATAAACTTTGTACATCTTTTATTTGTTAAGATATCATTAAATATAGCAAACATGCCAGAGAAGTCCCCTCCTCCAGCTTTCAAGATTGTTTGTTAATCAACTTTACACAGCTGGTCAATATGTTTATAACCAATAAAAAGAACAAATTCCCCTCTATGTAAGTCTCCTTCACTTGACAGGTAATGGAATGTTTTAACTTAGAAAGCTGAATAAATTATCGTACTTTTAGGACTTTCTGTTCTAGTGTCTGTTATATTGTATGTGTTCTAAAAATGCATATTTGAAAACTACATAAATTTCTTGGACACTCAAAGTTATGAAACTCGATTAGACTTAGGGGAAACTATCAAGTATTTTTACTCAACTGCAAACAGCTCAAATATTTTGTGAGCACTACAAGTTCTTGTTGTTTACATATTTTTATTGTTACATCTCTCTAACAAATTTATAAACTCGTAAAATAAGACATGTGAAATTACATTAACTGGGATTCCAGTGCAAAATATGACATTGGACCACTTGCTGTTTACGTTAGTTCTATAAGAAACAGCAAATTGGCTCCTTCTGCAATTGCTTTTTATCCCAGAATTACTCTCCGATACAGCAATAAAATTTAATGAGGTGAAAAAAGGGTTAAAAGTTGCAATTGTTAAGTGATTTGTAACTTTCTGATCAATACTGTGAAGAAGTAATAAATGGTATTATTCATTTATTTCATTTTTTTCAACTTTTCATTAAAAAACCTATATTTATAATTTCTCTATAGTTAGTGTTAGGGTACAGAAGTAAGATGTAAACTACAAAGTTTTACAAAAAAACTTTTGATATTCATTTGGGAGGTTTTAGAGGCTAGACAAACAAAATATGAAACTAAGCTGATAAGTACTTTTATTCTTAACATGATAATCACTCATGAATATAAATACTGGAGGTATCCCATATATTTTAATAATTAAAAAAAAGTTAAAATGGAGTAGTAAAAAATATACAATAAAACAACCTCTCACCACCATTAATGTGGCACCATCTTTATCTTATTTTACTCTTAAATTTCCATTTTTCACTCAGACTAACTTGATAAAGGCTTCATAAATTCACAGGCAAGTCTTTAGTATAAATACTTTATTAACAAATTTGTACTTTAATGTTTACTAAAAGCTTGACAAATTTTGTAAAGATACTTGTTATAAATTCTGACTTACTGCATGCAGAAGTTTCACAGTTCCATAGTTGCTCAAACTGACCTGACCGACTCTGTTCTTATAGACTGTATTTCTAAGAACGTTTCAATATAAACTACAAAATAAAGTCTATATAAATTAGTCAGTTAGTGTAAAATCATTGTCATTGGATGATGCTATCACAAGGTCAAACCTTGGTTTTTCAACTTGGTCCTCTCCTGTTTCCACAGGTTTCTCAGCTCTTCTCAAAGACACTGGTTCTAGATCTGTTATTACCTCAGGAGATGGTGGTGGTCTCTCAAAAAAGACCTCTTCAGCTAGTTCTGCACTTTGATAAACAGGCTATGAACAACAGACCATAAAAATATTAAGTCACTCGTTTAAAAAACATTATATTAAAAAACTTTAATTGTGTTCTATATCACTGAAATGGATAAACTACGAGGAATGTGGAAAGAAAAACAACTGAAATTTATGGAAAGTTTTCCACAAGTTTTAGGCCTAGAGATATATATGTACATAAATTAAAAAAAAAAAATACAATCCATCTATCATGTGTATGTGCAATAAAAGATCTTTTCATCTATACACGCACGAAACATTCGGTCAATCTAATAATCAAACTATTAAATACAATGGATGTAAAATGCCCATCTAGATTTTAAGTTTAAACTACTTATGAATTACACTTACCCTATTTTTCGGAATATAAGACGCACCCTTATTTTGAAGACAAAGTTTTGGGGAAAAAAAGCTACAGTCGCATTTGAAAGATTTTTATTGAACAAAAATTCAATTTGATACTTTAAAAATTAGCATATACTTTTCTAAACACAATAGAGCTCAAAACATCAAAATAAGAAAATACTGTAAATTAAAAAAT